AGCCCCCTATTTATGCCCCCACCACGTGTCCCCTGCCCCTCCCCCATCACTTGTCCCCATGCCCACTCCCTGATCTGTGCTGGTGCCTGCTCCCTGACACACACCAGTGGCTCCTGACCCACCACAGCTACTGCTAACTCCAAAGCTGTTGATTCCAGGCAGCAGTGGTAGCTCTGGCTCCAGCCGGTACCCCAGGCCCTGGGCCCCTGTTGGAACTGAAGCTGGAGCTGGAGCTGGCCCCTGTCCCTGCCCCTGCCCCTGTCCCAAGCCATACTCTAATCCAAGTTGAGGCTTTTTTCCCCATCTTGAATGAGGAAAAGAAAACCTTGATTTGGAGTACAGAGGTGCTCAAACTGTGATCCACAAGCTCCATTCAGGTGGTCTGCAGAAAGGTGACCTAAGGCTAAAGCTGAGAAACATTACACCCAACTTCCCAGAACTTTGCTCAGAAAAACAGGCACATCCATTGCATTAGAAAGGTAAGACTACTGATATTAAAATATGAGTTGTGTGCTTTGATTTGTAGAACAAAAGAAAGTTTAAGTGGTCCGCCGAGACCCTCAGCAATTTTCAAGTGGTCCACAAAAAAAAAGTCTGAGAACCACTGATATAGTATATATGAACTTCTCTGAGCTACCATTTAAATAAACTAATTTGTGATCCTCTTTCTCTCTGGGTTTTGTGTATTTCTTTCCCCTCCTCTCTCAATTACTTCTGACAGTCTCTTGCTTTGTGTTTCTTCCCATTTTCATTTTAGTCTTGTCCTTTTTGTTTCAGTTTCTGCCCATTTACTGTTTGAAGTTCTTTCTTCTTGACTGTTGCATGGTCTTGCAACATCTAATTTTTCTCCTTTACTTCTTCCCTATCTCCTCAAATAACTTCAGTTGCTTCATATATTGTTCTAAGGCCCAAAAAAGGGAAACAGGAGGGTGATAAGCAAGGGGGATACATTCAGCTATGTCCATGAACCTGTGCATTAAGGTACTATCTGGTTCCAGGTGTTTGATTTGACTGATTCATGCCAGCTGCTCCATGAAGCACACATTTCTGCAGAAGATGATGCCCCTGTACACAAGAATCACTCCGTACTGGTATCAAAGAATTCAGTGAAAGACTATGTCCTCTGTGCTTACAGGTTAGTAGAAACTTTTACCACATGTCCATGAACAAATTAAATCCCTCTTCAAATTCAGCTGTCCTGCCCAGCCTTTCTATCACTGCAGTTCTGCTTCAGTCCTGTCTGCTCCTGTTTTTCTTAGACTTTTACTGTCATTAAACAGTCTGCACTGTAATTGGGCATCAAGCTAAAAGGAATCTGTTGTAGTTATGACCTCTCTCATTGTACCTTACCTTCCCCTGACTAACACAAATATAACTTGAAATTGACAAATTGTCTGTGTGAAAAAATATATGTTCTTTTGGTTTATAGTTTCCTAATTTCATAGATGTTTGGGTTGGAAGCGACCTATTAGATCATCGAGTCTGACCCCCTGCCCTGGGCAGGAATGAGTACTGGGGTCAGATGACCCCAGCCAGATTTCTGTCCAGTCTCCTTTTAAACACTTCCATGGAAAGGGACAGCACCACCTCCCTTGGAAACTTATTCCATATTTTGGCAACCCTCACTGTAAAGAATTTTTTCCTGATGTCCAATTTGAATTTGCTCTCTTCCCGTTTGTGGCCATTATTTCTAGTTACCCTGACAGGTGCCCTGGTAAACATTGTATCCCCTATTTCTTGCTGGCCCCCCCGATGAGTTTGTAGCCGGCCACAAAATCACCTCTTAGCCTCCTCTTGTGAAGGCTGAAGAGGTTCAGGTCTCCCAATCAGTCCACATAGGGTTTTTTCTATAGGCCTTTAACCAGATGAATGGCCCTCCTCTGAACACTCTCCAGGCCATCCACATCCCTCCCAAAGCGTGGCGCCCAAAACTGGGCATAGTACTCTAGCTGTGGTCTGACCAATGCAGCATAGAGGGGAAGTATCACCTCCCTAGACCTGTTTGCGATGCCTTACTTATGCAAGAAAGGGTGTGTCGCCGCCGAGAGCCGCGGTGTGGGGTTCGGGGCCTTAGGAGCCCTAGTCAGCGGGCGGGTACTTGTGACGCTTGGAGTGGAATCAGGTACTCAAGCGTTTTGATTGAACAAAAAAGATTGTTTACTTACACTGCTCGTACAGTGCAGGTCAGAAGCTTCCTTCGATTACAGTTACAAAACTTGGGTCGGGCAGAAATTACAAAGTTCGTTTGGTCGGTCTGCAAATATGTCCGGGGTGTTCGAGCCGGCAGTCATCTTACATCTCGGGTGGGGGTGTGCTAGGCCCCCTTGGGTCAGTGACGGGGAGTCCTTAGTGGTTGATCAGGCCGCTAAGTTCGCTCTGAAACACGCGTGGAGTTTGCTAGGCTCCACAGTGTACTCAGAGTTCTCCACGAGGTGTGTGTGGAGTTCTCCAACTTGGGCAGAAACTGCTCAAGCCTCTTATACGGCTAGCAAGCCAATCACTAGCAGCTAGGTAGGAATAATTTAGAACAGTCCAATAGTGGGGTATGAATTTACATAAGATTGACGGGAACTTTTTCTAGGTCATTAATATATAGTCACTGGGCTCTGGAGTTTTCCACTCATGACCTACTTACATGACCTACTCACAAAATGATTGACAGACTGCCTTCTGTATCAAACTATGGAATCCTCCACTGTACTATAGGCATATGAATAATGGGTTCTGACAGGGTGCAGTTAGCTTTACTTATTACCTCATCACGCTGGTGACTCGTGTTCATTTTGGAGTCGACTACAACTCCGAGATCCCTTTCCACAGTTGTGCTACTTAGAGTGGTACCTCCCAGGCTGTAGGAGTGTTGATGATTCTTCCTCCCCAGGTGCAACACGACACTTATCCTAATTAAACTGCATCCTATTCTGTTCAGCCCATTTCCCCAGCCTGTCCAAATCAGCCTGGATTCACTCCCTGCTGCCTAGTTTGTGTACCTCCCCCCATAGTTTGGTGTCATCAGCAAACCTGGACAGGGTGCTTTCTACTCCCTCGTCCAAGTCACTAATGAAGATATTGAATAGTACCGGTCCCAGGACAGAGCCTTGGTGGACTCCGCTGCCCACGTTACTCCAGGTAGAAATCGACCTGTCCACCACCAGTCTCTGGGTGCGGCCCCTAAGCCAATTTTCTACTCACCGGACTGTGTAATAATCTACATTGCTGTGTTTAATGGCACAGTGCGTTCATCAAAAAGATGTGGTAACACAAATATAAAATAAAGACTCACAAATATTTGGTCAGAATGAATGCCAAACTGAAAACTAGGAAAAGAGCTCATGCTTCTGAGAAGTAAATTTGTGCTTACGCACCACAGCACTGCTTTGGCCAATCAGAAGTTTCATAGCTAATTTCACTCCATGTAAATATTTTGTTCATTGAAAAATGATAGGCTTTCTAAGGAAATGAGGTAAAGCCATACCAATATTTCTCAGTATATTTCTATAAAATATAACCATAGTGAAACTCAAATAGCACAGCACAGACTAAAGTGGGAAAGCTGTAGTTATGGCATTTTGACAGGGTTATTCTTATGGGTTGTATATGAAATCTAATGAATTGTAGAAAATATAGAGGGTCATCTAGTCTAACCCTCTGCTCAAGGCCAAATTATCCCTGTCAAAACTATCCCAGTCAAATGTTTGTCTAACATGCTCTTAGAAACTTCCAAGGATAGAAATTCTATAACCTCTCTAAGTGATCTGTACCAATGCATTAAACAATACCTGATGAAAAAGTAGTTCCTAATAGCCAATCTAAATTTCCCTTGTTGCAATTTAAAACTGTTACTTATCCTTTGAGGCTACAGAAAATAGTCTATCTCCATCCTCTTTATAAATGCCTTTTGAGGATTTGAAGCATGTTACCAAATTTCTCTTCGATCTTCTTTTTCTAGACTACCCCAGTTCTTCCAGCCTTTTCTCATAAATCATGTTTTCTAGACCTCTGATCACTTTTTGGTTGCATTCTGCTGGACTTTTTTCCAATCTGTTTATGTCTGTCTTGAAGTATTGTGCCCAAAACTAAGCACAGTACTCAAAGTAAGACTTCACCAGTTGTGAATCATTTGCCTTGACTTGCAGGCAGCACTCTTGTTAATACAATCCAGTATGCTATTGAGTTTTTTGCAGCAAGAGCACGTTATTGATTCACATTCAGCTTTCTGTCCACTTTAACCCCTAGGCTCTTTTCTTTACTACTGCAGCCTAGCCACTTATTCCCCAATTTGTATTTGTGTATTTAATTGTTCTGTCCAAAGTGTAGGGCAGCATTTACAGGGTTTGCTGTTTGTGGGTTTGGCTTCTGTTTGTGGACTTGCTGGCACTGAATTTATGACCCAGATAGTTTCATAATTTCATAGTTGGTAGGGTCGAAAGGGACCTAAGGAGATAATCTAGTCCGACCCCCTGCCATGGCAGGAAAGAGTACTGGGGTCAAACGACCCCGGCCAGATGTTCATCCAACCTTTTCTTAAAGACCCCCAGGGTAGGAGCCAGCACCACTGCTTTTGGAAGTTGGTTCCAGGTCCTAGCCGCCCTGACAGTGAAATAGTGCTTCCTAATGTCTAGCCTGAAACTACCCTCCGCTAGCTTGTG